TCCTGTTGTGAGGCATCACCACAGAGCTCTCCTTCTGACCCCAACATCTGTGCGTTGCATTGAATTCTCTAAGGAGTTACTAGGACATTTGCCCCACCTGCTGGAACCCTCATAATAAGGTTAAACCCCCCTCCCAATAAAAACCCCTCCAAAACATTGAGCTAAGCTCAGGAGTCCCTTCAACTATGCCCATCTCAAAAGCAACCCTGCCTACAAGCACACTGGTTGGTGAACCACACTTATTGAGTCACAACTCTATACCCTATGTCCCAATGGTTCCTAAGTCCTACTATGTTAAGAATTAGTGATCTACATCCTAAGCCAGGGGTGTACAGTGGTACATTGGGTTAAGAACTTAATTCGTTCCAGAGGCCCGTTCTTAACCTGAAACTGTTCTTAACCTGAGGTACCACTTTAGCTAATGGGGCCTCCCGCAGCTGCCGCACCGCTGGAGTGCGATTTCTGTTCTCATCCTGAAGCAAAGTTCTTAACCCGAGGTACTATTTCTGGGTTAGCGGAGTCTGTAATCTGAAGCGTCTGTAACCTGAAGTGTCTGTAACCCGAGGTACCACTGTATAGACTTCAGGTTTGCCATATGTTCTTCATTCTTTGCTATAACTCCAAGAACCAGAGCAAAAGACAGATAGAATTAAAGAACCAGGTGCCTCTGAGAACATTCTGTGTTTAGGAATTTGTTTCTGGGACAGCGCCAGAACTGCACTGAGCTCACAACTCCTTCACACAAAATATCATTCCTGGTAAGCTTTCTGCATTTCAGCAGTCTAATTTAGGTGGGAAAAATGCCATTTTGTTGCTGTTTTTAAAAACAAACAAACCTGAGAGTCGGAAACTGCAAATCACACAAAGATCTACTAGTAATTCTCATATACCTCCTGCCCACTCCTACCCTAAGCAGAACAACTGGAAATAAGTTTCTGTATGTCTTTAAATCTTTGACAATATGTGAAAGATTTAAAGTTGTGATGGAATATTTGTAGTTGAACTGCCTTTTGTTGTAGTTTTAGATGCCACGTTTTAGTTTGTCAATATTAATCTGCAGGATGCCAAGTAACTTAATACCAAATGAACTGCAGACCTCGTTAACTTTCCCCCCATCGTGTACAAAGCCTTATTACAACTGATTACTGGAACTTGCCCAGAAGCACCAAATAACCTTTCTCCTGCAAAACAGCTTCTCCAATAATATTTTAAAGATTGGTTTGCAAAATTCCAACCATCATGTGAAGGTGCCAATGGAAAATCAGAAGTGGGAAATCTGCAGGGCAAGCACAGTCAATCTTTGAGTTGGAGGAAGAAAGCCACAGCCCTGCAAACTATTAGGCTGCTAGAACCCTATGGGTTCTAATAGGATTGAATCAAGTTGTGTGCAAGATTCCAGCCAATTTTGCTTCCTTTGTCTTATCCATTATTATATAGGAGCCATTACCATGGGGGTTGGTGATGTGAAGATGGAGAGCCACGGGTATAAATGGGTGGGATTCTTCCAAAATTAAGCATAGCATAATTTTCACCCACTGGTGTTGTAGTCCAATGAATGTGGAGGGCACTAGCTTGGGGAAGGCTGTGGCACAAGGAACTTCTGCATGGGTGCAGCTTCCTGCAGTAGGTGGCTGTGTGTCAAAACACCAATGTTATTCTCAATGCAGCCCTAGCCTTATATTGGAGCTCTAATCTGTGTCCCAAGGACTATATCCATTCATAGTTCGTGTATCTTGCATTGCTCACGTTTGATCTCTATGTCAGAATAAGCAGTCGGTCATAATCAGATTTTCTTGGGCTAACACTTCTCACTTACGGCATTTGACCTTCATCCAAAAATGTTTTTCCATCAGGGCAAGTTAATTCTCTGGACGAAAAGGCAGCTGGGTCACATTTCTTGCTTTAGCAGAATGAAGAACAAGGGAAGTAGGATCTACACCGTCTACTCAATGACACTTACGCCACAGAAGCTCCACAAAGAATAATAACATCACGGAAGCATTTAAACATAATTGGATGTGCTCGCTACAATTACCTCTGCAAATGCACTTTGAGTCTTCCTATGACCTCCTAGATCTAATTGGTAAGATTTTAAAATGATAGTGTAGCAATAAATACAGGATGTACACTTGAGTGTTCTGTGGCCTAATGGCTGCTTATTAATAATAACTTTGTACTTTTCTTACTTTCTTTCCCATTTGTGCACTGCTGGCGGATTTTAGGAAGAGAAGACTTGAGCTGCTTACACTGCATGCAATGTGTGTATATAAGAGAGCAATTCAACCTTCTGCAGCAGAATCACAAATTGAGCTAATTAGGGTTGGCCGAATTAGAACATTCATCCTCAACCAGTAGCCTGTCTCTGGAAATTTCAGTGTTTTCCATTAAAACTAAGTGAAACCATTTGTGTAGTTTACTGTTGTGCTCTCTCTTCCATTAGGAGGCTAAATAAGTACATGCTTTAAGAAGTCAAGAGAAATCCTCAAAGATGGAACTGTGGCTGCATTTTGCAAACCATTTATCCTGAGCAGCTCCACTATAGACAACGCCACTCCTCCACATGGAGGTGGGGGTGCCTTTGTCCAGACTACCTGGACAAAGTGAAACCAAGGAGTTCTCACATAAGTATGTTGCTGTGACAATGTGGTGACCACAAGACAGCCTCATAAGGTGTCTCTGCTGAGCACCTGGGGCCCTATGAGATTCATCCCTCTGAATTCTAGACATGCACCTCTCAGGAGTTTTCCCTCACTTCACCTTTAATGAGAATGGATGAGGAAAGGCCCAGATCAGTCCATCTGCATGAAGCAGAAGTGGTCTCATCTACGACAAAAGCGAAGGAGCCCCTTTTAGTTAGGGATGCATGTAGGTCTCAATTTAGTTAATATTGCAGGTCCTTGATTTTCAGGAAAGTGGTGACCTTAACTCCAAATGTGTCTCATATCTTCATTCTGGGGGTTGTGGGTAATGGGGTTTTCCAAGGACAAGTAGCATAGAACATGGGTTGGATCCAACAGTCTTCTTCCTTTCACAGTGGGGGCTTGGTCTGGTGAAGGTCTTGAGGGCTGGATAGAGGAGGGACTCATTCAGCCCCTTGGCATGAATGTCTTTAGTAAAGGTAAAGGGACCCCTGACCATTAGGTCCAGTCGTGACCGACTCTGGGGTTGCGGCACTCATCTTGCTTTATTGGCCAAGGGAGCCGGCGTACAGCTTCCGGGTCATGTGGCCAGGATGACTAAGCCGCTTCTGGCGAACCAGAGCAGCACACAGAAACGCCGTTTACCTTCCCGCCGGAGCGGTACCTATTTATCTACTTGCACTTTGAGGTGCTTTCGAACTGCTAGGTTGGCAGGAGCAGGGACCGAGCAACGGAAGCTCACCCCGTTGCGGGGATTTGAACCACTGACCTTCTGATCAGCAAGTCCTAGGCTCTGTGGTTTAACCCACAGCACCATCCACGTCCCTATGAATGTCTTTATCCCTGCTCTAATGCCTGGGACAACTTCCTCAACTAGTCAGTGTATGACTTCTAGGAGCATAGGAAACCAGTTTATACCAAATCAGATTATTTGTCCATCTAATCCCATATTCTCTACTCTCCCTGGCAGCAGCTTGTCCTGGTTAAGAATAGCTCTGCTGGGTTTGCTTAATCTAGTCCAACATCCTGCTCTCACAGTGGTCAACTAGATGCCCAAGGGAAGTTTGCAAGCTGGGCTTGAGCATAGCAGCACTCATTTCCTGTAGTTTCCAGCAGCTGGTATTCAGAAGGATATTGCCTCTGACGATTGAGGTAGAACATTGTCATCATGGTTAGTAGCATCTGATAATCATATCATCCATAGTTCTCAGACAGAGGACTTTACTGAACCTGGGACCTTTTTTTTAATATTATATCATTGTCTTCCTTTTCTTTTCACTCCCTATCACTTCCAGCCTTCATTTATTTTCTTTTTCAAACATGCAGGACACTAAATTCCTCAACTGGAAGTTAAAACTGCAAGTGATTTTAAGCATGAGTCAAACACCTATTTAGGCTGGCCATTTCTCTCTGCTTATACAAGTCACCTATGAGAGCCCCAATCCAGAATGTCACTACAGCAGTGGGTTAACTTTTTCCTCTGGCACCATTTTCCTGCTGGAAAAATCACCTCCTCTAAAGAAGCCATTTCTCTTGATTTTGAAAAGAGGCTAGACCGGAACCAAACCAAACATTATTTTAAATGCACCAGGTAATAATATTTTGCTCTTATAGAAAGGGGAGAGCTCAACAGATCACTGTAATAGGTTTGGATGTATCATCTGTCACAGGGTTATGGAAGGCTGGGCAAAAATGACATATTCCAGGTAAATCTTTTGAAACAGATTGTGTTATGCAGAAATGTGTTTTAGAAAATGCATGTAACCCGAAAAATGTATTGCTTTACCCACCCCCAAATGGAAATTTCTAGTAAAAACAATTTTATCTGGAAAAAAATAGTCATAATTTTATGCATCAATTATTCATATTTTTAGAGAGCTCTGAAAACTCTATAAACTTTGAAACAAACCATTAATCACTCTGAACAAAGCTATAAAAGGGGGACTATTTTCTGTTCTTTAAATTATGTAAGGGATCGGTTAAGCTATCTGCTCTTAATTTACAGCCAATTATTCAGAAGAACATAAACGCAAAGATTCCTCCTCATTAATGCACACAGTTCACAATGTTTAGCTTCTAAAAGGCATCGTAAGGGAAGTGGTTTCATCTCTGATCACTGTGCGCCTCCAAGGCATGGGGTGACTAGATTAGGTAGTTGACTTCAGTGCAAAGGAGGACTGACCATAGAACGGTAGAGCTAGAAGGGACCGCGAGAGTCATCTAGTCCAACCCCCAGCAATGCATAAATATTTTGCCCAGCAGCAGACTTTGGTCTTTCAAATTTCAGCAACACCCTATGATACTTGATGAGTTTTGATAAGATACTTGAAGGACTGCCTCTTCCCCTGTGAATCTGCTCCTCCTTTAAGAACTCCCGCGGCAGCCCTTTTGCATGTGCCATTGAGTTGCATGCCTCTGGTTATGCTGCTGCTTAATTTATTTATCATTACCTCTGTCTCTTGTGCTTTTTGTCAATTGATGCTGCTTTTCGCCCTTGTTATTAATAATCTGTTTTAGTGATGAATTATGCTTTTTATTTTTCTGTGTGTTTTGATGCTCTGCTAACAGCTCTGAAGTGAATGTTTTTTGAAGGGAAAAGTGGGATATAAATTTTTGTATGAAGAAAAATAAATGAACAAATTTCTGGGTGTGATAACCTTCTGGTTTATCAGTTTCTTCATTTTTTTTTTTCATCTGGGCCTTTCAGAGAAGAAGAATTGATCATGACTAGAGATGGATGAATCTTTCCATTTAAGTTTCTCTTTTTTTCAGTTGTTAAGTTTCAATTTGCCACATTTCTGCATCATTTTGCTCTTTAAAAAAAGGCCTTCAAACTATCACTATCTGAGTGCGGATTTCATCTTCCCTGATATAATGCACTTTTGTATGCTATTTCACTAATATATGTATTTTTATAAATATGCTCCCTTAACATTTGCATTTTGTACCCATTCTTTGGAAGGGGGAAGAAGTGCCTCGTAAAATTCAGAGAAATGCACATTTTGAAGGATGTCTGAATTTTGATCCACATATTGTTAGGGGAAGTGCAAATTAGGTTCACACTGAAATGTGAACAGAACCAATTTTTTTCAACATCTGTAATGGAGAAAGAATGACTATCAATGAACTCAACTTAATAGGTAGAAAAATGTTGAACGCATTTGGTTCTAGATAAGAAATCGCATAAAAGATGACACAAGAGAACACTTGGGAAAAATATGCCCCAAAGGCAACAAAAGAAAATTAAGATGTTTAGTATGTACAACTTTGTTCAAAATGATGACACAGACTTTATGGACAACTCTTAAGAAATACGAAGCGGTTATGAATGGCATGTAGACCAGTTCTGAGAAATAACTGAATGATTCCTTTTGAACTTTTGATTAAAGTAACAACTCCAGCCAAAGGAGAACTCTGTGGTGCAGGTACCGTCCAATATAGGTTCCCAAAAGTGTGGGGAGGTAGGAGTTTAAAATTGTTTTTATGCTTTTACTTGTGAATTGTTTTGGCAAGACCTGTGGGCCAGATAGGCAATATAAAAAACCCTAAATGAATAAACAAATATTTGTTGTTCTTGCCTGCCTTCATATAGATGCATTAAGATTACCCAATTATTTTTAGTGGTAATATCCTGAAAACCCATCTCTTAAATGAAGCAGGCTGCCTATGTTCCAGTTTTGGCTTACTATGTAATCTTTGAGGCTGTTAGTAAATAGGTCTCTAGTTTTACATTGACATATTCCGTAAGATGGACTAAACTGCTGAGTAGAAACACCAACAAATAGAAATGGATGAATCTCTGAATTTCCGGTCTTCATCACGTTCACATATTTTTACCCATCATTCTCTTCCATTCCATTTCTGCCCTCATCTTAAATTTCTGTATCTTTCTGTTTGTTTCTAAAATCATGTTCTCCCCTTGTTCTTCCAGCACTCGGAACAAGAACCATCAAATGCATTCTGAAATTTTGCTTTATGTGAATAAAAAAGATTTTTGCAGGTCCAAGGAGAGACTTTTGTCTTTAACTTTAGTGATTTGTATATATTCCACTAAACAGTTCAGGCATTTTCTGTGCCGCTTCTGCATTCCTGTAGAGATACAGCTTGGGCAAATTTCAGCTGGATGCATTTGGTTTCCCAACCTTGCTACGCAGAAATTGGAGCATAAATTTATGCTTAATCAGTGGCGCAATGGGAAATGTAACACAGTTTCAAAATAGATAAAGGTCAACCCATTCAAGAAATTTATGGGACAATTTGGTAACAGTGAACTACCTCCCTCTTTTCCAATCACTCTGATTCAGGTCAAGTTTCAATTACATGGAGACTTTTCTGTCAGGAGACAATGATTTCTATTGTCAGCAGTGCATTCTTTATCATCTCATACATCAAAAAGAATTAAGGCATCATGGGCCACCTGATTTCTCTTCAGGTCAGCACCTAGAATGTCTCCTAAACTTGTTAATTTAATCAACAAGAATGCAGGGAGGGAGAAATGAAAACTCTCTGGTTCTTGGAGTGTCTATACAAATTTCAGAATAGGCACAAACATAAAATAAAGAACTATTAACAGTTCTATAACAAAACCTGTTTATTTATTGTTCAAGTTTTATCTTAGTACTTTGTGGGGAGCAGAGAGCAGGAATGATTGCTGTTTTGATTCCATGACGTACTCTTGAGCAAGAATGTTAAAATTTCAAACATCAGATTAGACCATTTTAACAGAATTTTTCAGAGACTCCCATTAAACAGTATGCTAGCAGCACTGAAGCTGTTCTGGATGCCCCTGAGGTAATTAAACAACAACAACAACCCTAACCATGTGTGGGGGCTGACTGAATTGGCTTCAACCATGAAACTGGCACTTCATAGAGGGAAAAGTGTCAATACAATCAACCCACATCCATATGGTTGGGTCATCTAAATGTAATCTGAGCGATGTGGAAGCTGTTCCCATAAAGATAGGATAACACTGAAAGGGCCTTAGGAGTTGAATGCTAAATTGGAGCTGATTTTCATATTACTTTTTGAGGAGTGTGTGGAACCATAACATCATGATGCCAAAGTTACATAAGTGGATGTTGTTCTGTTATGAAAACTGCTTGGTTTCTAATTAGCCAATGATATGAGGCAGGGGGACATAGGAGATTTACTCCTGAGGCCTAAGAAACACATTAGATAGGTGTTCTTCAGTTGGCGATCTGCTAAGAAAAAGACTGGAGTAAGGGGGGCCACTAGGGGGCGCATTGGAAGATGGCCGACAATACCATCTCTCCAACCCACACGGGGTAATTAAGAGGCTGTTATGGGAGTAGGCAGCCTCCCTTGTTGCCCCAAGGAAATGGGGAACACTGCCCTTGCCTGCTGTGCCCATAAATCACCCCCTAATTTGAAAGAAGGGGGTGAGGGCCCTAGGCAGAATGCCCCCTGTGGACATCGGCTCTCCTGGACGCTGTCTCTGATCGCGCACTAGTTGCAGCAATTTGGAATAATTAATTACAAAAGAAGCAACTGCACATATTTCAAGTGAAGAAGGGGGTGAAGTCTGCTAATTTAAGTGACCTCTGCGAAAGAAGACGACGGGCTGGAGAAACAGGAATATTTTACAATGAAGATACACCAAAGGCGGGGTATGTTGACAACGGGGCAGAATGGGGGGAGAAAACCTTTTTTACTTTCCTTCTATGTGATTTACAAGAACCCCTCCTCATTAGAACCGTCGGTTGAACTGACCCAAGCAGGATGATTAAGGTCTGTGTGGAGATAAACTTTAACCAAAAGTATGCTTTATGGAGACCGAGAAGCAATAAGAGCTTTTGGGAATGGCGCAGCAATTAATTCGGAGTCGCCATCTTGCCAAAGGATTTATAGCCGGGAGGAAGAAGGGATTTGTTTTCAGACTGCATTCCTAGTGAATCTCCTCAGAGGTTTTGAGAAAGGAGGCAGATTGGTGAAGATTAATGATGCTAAGACTGTTTTGATGTATGGAAGTGATGTTATATGGAAAACGTCTGGATATGGCTACTGGATTAAAAAAAAAATATCCATGCAGGATTACAAACTGTTCTAACCAGCTTGTGGAGATTATCAGAGGTCACAAAGAGAAAGGAAAAATATATGAAAATAACAACAAGAGAGGTGGAAAAATAATAAGAAAGGACTGGATAGTACTGTGAACATCATAAGGTTAGATTTGTGGACATTAAAACAGCAGTAAGAAGCAAGAAGTTGATTGGATCCCTTCGGAACTTGAAATATGGGTACCCCCAACAAAAATTTAAAATTCGGCTGTGTAATTTGGAATTTATGTAATTTGGTTTGATTTGATGTGATTGGTTGGTCAATAAAAAAATATTCTCAAAAAAAAGAAAAGAAAAAGACTGGAGCAGTTACTAAATGGTTGACTATGGGTGTTGTGAGGTAGTATGATATGTGCCAGTTGGCATCAGAGACCAGCTTTTATAGAGAACAGTAGAATTGAAAAGGTGAGGTTGTGATAAGTCCTTTACTAGGCATTCCATTTGAACCCATTGGTCCATAGTTAAAGACCAATGGAATGCTGGGTTGTCAGAGATACTATTTGTATTGGATAAAAGGGTTTGGACTGAAGTGTATAAGAAACCAGAAAAAATAAAGAGAAGAAGAAATAGAAGAGGAAGAGGAAGAGGAAGCCAGTCACACATGTGGGGATGCAATAGAAAAATAGCACCCTTGTGCAAGATTGTGCAAGAGGAAACATCTGCTGACTCTGCTGACTTGTTCCCCCCACACGCCTGGGTCACTGTCGCGCTGCCTAACCGCAAAGCTTACGCGGCTGTCATGCTGTCTGGAGTTATGTCCTGGTAGAGAATAGTTATTCTAAGAAATGCAAACCCTAGCTGTTTTCCACCCGAGTGCTACACGTGTATATGCAACATGATGTAATGTGCGCAAGGCTAATAAACATGCAAGGCTGCTGGGAGAGAGAGCTCACTCCTTGCTTAAACCTTCACCCATGACTCTTCGTTATTTTCCTCCGCACCTGGTGGGCTGGTTCCCCGACAAATGGTGCCCCGTGTGAGGCCTGAACGGCTTCCAGGACGCGTGCTGTCAAAGACGCTCCTCCCTGCTACTCACCCGCCCGGCTGTGGCTCAAGGCGCCCTCTCATCTTCGGATCCCCGGTGAGTAGCTATTTTTCTATTTTTATCATGGGTTCTGCGCTCTCCAACCCTCAGAAACAATTTTTAAAAGACATGCAGCACCTCCTTCGGGAAAATAAACAGCAAGTACCTGAAGGTGATCTAATTGCATTGATTCTGGCAATAGATGAACATTGTCCATGGTTCCCTGAGGACGGGACATGGGAAATACCAGACTGGAACAGAATTGGCGACCACTTTCATGGCCATGGCCGCATAAATCTTCACGTCCTCAGTGCCTGGGCTAAAGTCCGTGGCTGCATGGCAACTCTTACGCCCAAAAACATCCTCTTGGCTTCGTTGCAACCACAACAAGAAACAGTCCTGAATATGCCTTTCATATATCCGGCTGCACCGTTTCAACCACCACCTTTTACTCCGCCATGACCACCAGATTATCAGCCTCCGCCGACGCCACTGGGGACTGCAATTAAACAAGCAGCCCCCCTCTTAGGTTTTTCATCTGGGACGCCAGTGGCTAAAGTCATACTGCTCCCTGCGGATGCCACAACTCCTACAGATACCCCCTTAATTGCTGCTGCAATGCCTCTCACAGCTCAGCGCCCTACATTAAAAATGACACTGGGTGGACGTGAGGTAGAGGGGGTTCTGGATACAGGGGCAGATGTTACTGTGATTGCTAAACAAGACTGGCCTCCCGAATGGCCCACAAAGGCAGCTGCGCAGGTTTTGGGTGTCGGGGGAGAAGCGCCAGCTTGTCAAAGCCTCCACCCAAATGATATCCTTGTGGCTGCGAAGCACATATCAGTGGAATTATTAAGAGACCTTACATCTGCCCTGAGAGATTTTGGACTGTGTATTGCCCCAGATAAGGTTCAGCAAACTTTGCCTATGTTATATCTTGGACATAAATTGACACAACAAGCTGCCATTCCGGTTGTTCCCCAATTGTCTTTTCCTGCCCGCCTACGGCTGGTTGACCTTCAACAACTTTTGGGACACCTGAATTGGATAAAGAATTACCTTAATCTGCCTACTAGCACCTTGTCACCATTGTTTTCTGCCTTACAAGGACACAAACTACCCGGAGAAGTCATCCCAGTTACAGAAGAAATGCTACAAGCCTTACAACAGGTTAATGCTTTATTAAGAGACCGAATGGTGGATCGCATAGACACTCTGCACAATGTGCAGTTATCTTTGGCAATTTTTTCCACACCTTTGCTGCCTACAGCCATTCTCTACTCACAGAAATCGGCTGCCCCCTCGGGTGTCAACATTGTGGAATGGATCCACCTTCCGCATACTCCACCGCGTAACATTTATTCCTCTCCAGCGGCTGTAATGGATTTGGTAATTAAAGGGCGCGCTCGAGCAAAAGCCCTCTCTGGACTGGACGTTGAAAAAATTTACTTGCCTTTTCACTCACAGAAACACAACACCTGATTTCCACCTCCGTGGCTACTCAAGTAGCACTTGTGGATTTTTTGGGAACCATCACGCATAATCCCCCCTCTGATCCACGCTTGGCTTTTCTTTCTCAAACTGTCTATACTTTAAAATCTGCTCTTTCTCCAACCCCCATCCCCTCTGCCCTTACCCTTTTCACTGATGGGTCAAAAACGCGGGGGGTGGTGGCATGGGAGGAGGGTGGAAAATGGAAAACTGAATTTACTGAGCAACAGAGGTCCACCCAGCGGGCTGAACTTGCTGCTGTAATCCTTGCCTTTCAACTCTTTCCTGATAAACCTTTTAATTTGCTTGTTGATACACAATATGTGTATCGCCTTCTGTCTTCCCTGCCTGTTTCTTATATCACGCCTGCGTTAGATGCTGATTTGTTTGTTCTTTTTTCTACCTTGCAGTATCTTATTCAAGAACGCCGTCATCCTTTTTATGTTGCACACCTTCGTTCCCACACCAATCACCCAGGGTTTTTGGCTCAGGGAAATGCTGTGGCAGACGCTGCACTGCGATCTGAAGTGTTTTCCTTGTTTTCTGACCCTATTCTCTCTCATTCTACCTTTCACCAGCCTGCTAAAGTTTTGGCAAAAATGTTTAAAATCCCTATTGCACAGGCACGAGACATTGTTTCTCAATGTTCTACCTGTTCTAAGGCTCCAACCATGATTCCCTTTGATGCGGTGAACCCTAGGGGTACGTCCCCTCTTGCGGTTTGGCCGATGGATGTTACTCACACCCCTCTGCTCGCCCCATTTTCAAAGGTTCACTTGACAGTGGACACCTCATCTGGATTTATCTGGGCCACCCCATTGAAGGGTGAGACCGCTCGTCACGTCATTCAGCACACCCTGCGCTGTTTTGCTGTGATGGGTAAGCCACAAAGCATTAAAACGGATAATGGCCCAGCCTATATTTCCTCTCAGTTTTCATCCTTTTGTGATTTATGGAATGTGAAATTAATCCATGGTTTGCCTTTTAATTCAACAGGACAGGCGATTGTGGAGAGGGCGCACTTGACCTTCAAGACACTGCTGTCCAAACAACTTGGAGGTCGAAATGCCCCCTCCGCCGAGATTCCTTCAATTGTGCATACTGTTTTATTCACTCTTAACCATCTTTTGTATCCCCATAATAGGGAATATACACCGGCTGAGATTCATTTTCGAAAAGCAGAGCCTTTGGCTCGGCCTCTTGTGTCTTACAGACAACTACCTGATCCAACATGGCATGGTCCTGTGCCACTCATCTCCTGGGGACGCGGCTACGCGGCAGTGGACCTGGATGGACGGCCTACCTGGTTACCAGCGCGCTGTGTGCGACCCTGGCGAGCTTCTGCCTCGGAATGAAATTTATGACTCTGATTAAATAATATAAAAAAGGAGGGCATGTGGGGATGCAATAGAAAAATAGCACCCTTGTGCAAGATTGTGCAAGAGGAAACATCTGCTGACTCTGCTGACTTGTTCCCCCCACACGCCTGGGTCACTGTCGCGCTGCCTAACCGCAAAGCTTACGCGGCTGTCATGCTGTCTGGAGTTATGTCCTGGTAGAGAATAGTTATTCTAAGAAATGCAAACCCTAGCTGTTTTCCACCCGAGTGCTACACGTGTATATGCAACATGATGTAATGTGCGCAAGGCTAATAAACATGCAAGGCTGCTGGGAGAGAGAGCTCACTCCTTGCTTAAACCTTCACCCATGACTCTTCGTTATTTTCCTCCGCACCTGGTGGGCTGGTTCCCCGACACACACAACAGTTGAGGGGCAGTTTGTAGGAAAAGGCTGAGTGAGACTGAAGAAGAACAAAAATAGAGACTTAATGGTTCCTGAAGAGAAGTAAAGTGGCAGCAGCAGCAGCAGCAGCAGCAGTAGCAAAAGTGATTGTGAGGAGCTCCACAAGGATCTTCCCAAACTGGATATCAAATACAATGTAACCAAGTAGAAAGTAGTATACGTTGGAGCAAGAATTCCTAATTTCACTTGTATGTCAATAGGGCCTGAACTGGTGCACACTGACCAGGAACAAGATTTTGGCATCGTAGTGGATAGCTAAAAAAAAAAAAAAAGTCAACTCATTGTGTGGCAGTTGTGAAAAAAGTGGATTCTATTTTAGGGTTGATTAGGCAAAGGATTGAAAATGAAACTGTTAATATCAAAATACCATTATATAAATCTTTGGAATATTGTGTCCAGGTGTGGTTGCCTTACCTCAAAAGGGATATTGTAGACTTTCTCCAAAAAGGAAGCTTCTGTTGCAGCCAAAATGATCAAGGTTAGATTGGAAAGTTACAACATTTGGGCCTTTTTAGTTTAGAGAAGAGGTGATTAAGGTGGAGAAGAGAAAATTGTATAAAATAATGCATGACATGGAGAAAGTGGATAGAGAAAAGATTTGCTTCCTCTCACATAATGCTAGAACCCAGGTTTATCCAATGAAGCTGACTATCAGAAAAGATAAAAGGGAGTGCTCTTCAAACAGTACATATTTAAAGTATGGCATTAGCACCCAGAAAATGGAGAGATGACGATCAGTTTGAATGGATTTGAAAGGGGATCAGACAAATTCATAAACAATAAGGCCATGAATAGCTACTTGCCATGATGTCTGTGTTTCTACCTCCAGTGTTGAAGGCAGTATGCTCTGAACGACAGTTCCTGGGAATCACAAGTGGACCTTTGCTCTGATCCTGCAGGATGCTCTTTAGGTTCTTAGTTGCGAGTCCTCTTGTAAAAGGTAAAAGACAGATCCTGAGAATCCAGGAGTCAATCCAGAAGAGTGTCTTAGAAGCAGTTAAGCCTAGGCCTTTCTCCCCTTCCACCTCAAGCATGTGCAGCTTATAGAACACTAATGTACAAATGGTAAAGCATTCAGAATGAACAAATGAGAAATGATTCCAAATCATTATTAGCAGGTCAAATTTGGCTTCAATAATACATGTTAAGGAAAATTCACACGCTCACAATAACCGTTGTACTAGGGCATATAACTTTCCTAAAAAGTTTTAGCACTTTAAAGAAAGCATTCCATGACATTTCAATACCCATTTAATTTGTCTAAATAAATTTGTCTAAAGCAATTTGTATATAAGTACGGCTAACAGCTTTTTATTTCTTCAGAAATTACTTGGAAGAATGGCAAATTTGTTCCCTTTGATCAATGCAAGACATAACCTTTGATGTGTTAATATTGCTATTCGGACTATTCAGCCATCTCTTTCAGGTGATAGTTATGAATGAATTAAGATGGTGCAATTTCACGTCAATCACAGGGACAGCAGTTGAATAAAATCGCCTTATGGCAATGAATCACGCACATACACACACACACATCTATACAAAAGAAAACGAAAGACTGACTGTCATGTCATATTAAGGGGAGATCATTTGCTTTTATTTAACGTTTACAGTATATCACATAACAATGTACACTCAACATGGTCTATAATTTTCAAAGGCAAGATTGACACCATAATGACCAATATAGTCATTATATGCTAATCAGTAAAGGAGAGCTATATGATAAGACATGTATATAATAACTTGTCTGTGGTCCTATTTTAACTGCTCTTTGGTGGACAATCACCTGTATCCCTGGATTTGGAAATAGGGCTTGCCAAAAAGTTGCGGTACAGTGGTAGCTCGGGTTACAGATGCTTCAGGTTACAGACTCCATTAACCCAGAAATAGTACCTCGGGTTAAGAACTTTGCTTCAGGATGAGAACAGAAATTGGGCTCCGGCGGCGTGGCAGCAGCAGGAGGCCTCATTAGCTAAAGTGGTGCTGG